AGAAGGCACAAACACAATCGTGGAGGCTGATAACAGAAAAAGAAATAACCATCGAATATATCTTGCTGCGAGCGTTCAAATCCCTGATTCTGTTGATTGCTGCGCATAGATTACAATATCATTTTCAACATTCAATCTTTATCCACGAAATAAGATTGGTTTTTAATTTATAAATTTATTATTTTTTTTTCTTTCTATTTTTTAATTACTTTGTAAAAGCGATGAAATAGATCACAAATAATAATATAAGTTTAACCTGCACGAATCAATTTTGTTTGTTTGGAAATAATTATTTTGTTTTTAATCTCAATCTCCAGATAGCATTGAGAGAAGTAAAAATGTAAAAATCAAGTTTTTGTTATCGACAGTAAACAAGCGATAATCACAGAACACAGGAGATTGACTAGACGAAATTATTTACCCGGAAAAACGTTGCAGTCAACAAATAAAATGCGGAGCCACATCCACTGGTGTTTATTTTGAAAGACGTTTTAGCTGCAGAGGTGTGACCCAGCCGCGGTTGAACGCAAAGCGCACTACACTTCGGGGAGGCTCAATTTAGATGATGATAAGCAGAGATGTTTCTTTTTTTTCTTGTCGGAGTCTGGTGGCCGCGGGAAGGTCTGTATCAACCGCACTTCTTCTCTCTCTGCTCATAAACTCGCGTCCGACTGCATTCAAATGCGAGGTGTCGCGCTTTCGGAATATCAATCAACCCTGCGGGCGAATTGCACCTTCTGCGTGCCCCGCGTATGCTATTTCTGAGCTGGAATTCGGCGATTTGTTTAGCGCGGAGTGGCTATTAAACCCTCTAGAGAAATAAATAAAACCGACGAATGCCCGCGTTATGGGCGCAGACGGCTTCTCTGTTGAATTTTCTCACCTTTCACATACCAGTAAAAAAAAAAACTTCCAAAATTCGTCTAATAAATTTGTTGAAAAATGATTGAATTAAAAATTTTCCCAACAATTGCGTAGATTAAATATATATTTATAATACATTTGTGTAAATCAGAATGTTAATTTGACGGTTGATGTGTCATTATGTTCATGTTGTGGGCAAGCTTGACATCAAGTCGGCCGTCATCACAATAAAATTACGTGCATGGTACGTCAGAAAAAGTGTCGGTTTCATCCTGCCCCGCGAGAGACCAACCTGATAAGCAGCTCTCAGATGGTTTTGCATCAAGCACCGTTAATAAACTGGCTGCTTGAAAACGCCTCGCGCATGCACTTTTTGGAGCTGCAGGCTTCCTGCAGCTGCAGATGCACGGGATTGATTTCCCAGAATCGTCCCGCTCGGTAATAATTACCCTTTTATGGCCCATTATTTGACTCGCTCATGTCGCACGTTCCCCGCCGCGTTTGAAATTATATCAAAATTCAGTCCCTGAAAGTTGTAAAAATAAAAAAACTCGTTTTGCTTCGGTGCAGCAGCGACACTTTTTCATTTTTGGTGCTAAATCTGACCGGCCCATATCAAGCAATTAAAACTCACCAAGGCTTCTTTACAGTTAGCTCAGCATTCCCATATAATTATCTAATATTTTTTTCGTATTTTTCAACCAACAATCAAGCTGATTTTCCCACAAATTCATATAAAATACAGGTTTGTCGTTTTTGATGAAAAAAAATCCTCAGCAAAATGTGAGACTTGGAACATTACTCAAGTGTCGCCCTGCTTGTTAGTTCGACTTGACTTGAGCTTGTTTTCTTTGAAGAGCGCATTCTTTTCCTCTCTTAACCTCACATCGATACCCTCTCTGTCTCGAGTCTCGTCGAAATTTTGTGGTGAACACGCGTACTTTTTTAAGTGAAACAAAGCACCTGCAAGCGAGGTAATTTTTCTCTCCTGGGTGCGGCGGCTGTCCGATTGGGCCTCTCTCTGCTGCTGCCGTGCACTTTCATAATAAACATGGCGGCCGACGATGTGAATAACCACTAAAGTATTGGTTATCACCTTGTCGTAAAAACTAATGAAATCGGAATGCAGGCAGAGCACGTCTATCTTCACTGGCGATGAACTAGAAAACACGATGAAACTCAATGAGCTTCCAACCACTGGAAAATGCTACTGGTTGTGACTCTATTACAAGGGAGATTCTGAACCGCCGTGATTTCTCAATGGGCTGGAATTCGGCGCTCCTGAGAGTCGCTTAGTTAGTTGGATCGGTGCTTTAAATGAGCAAATAAACAAAACGCGTCACGTGGTGCCTCGGGCAGGAAGGAAACTCCTCAAACACGAACCAAATTTTTGTGAAGCCGCTAACTAAGTCCGTCGGCGCCGGTTGCGTCATAAAAAATGAAGATTTCATTTGACCGGTGCGCATCGGGGCCGCAGGTCTTGTGAAGGCAACAATGGCGCACTTGAATCGTTGGAAAAAATGAGCAGGCGTGTAATAAAAAGTCAACTCGTGAATTTGTCTGTTGATGTGATGAGGATTTCGTGCAAAAAGCTGCCAACTGCTAATTAAGAGGAATTTTTCCAATCAAATTATTTAAATTATTTTCAGGAAATTATATTTTTAAACTAATGGAACTATTGCTGTAATTATAATTTATTTTTAAATTTATTATTTTTTTTCTGTTCACGTATTTTGCAGTTTTCACGGTTTTTAAATTTATTTATTTTTGATAAATACATAGACACGTTCAAAATCATGGCGCTGTTAAATGGCCGCGAAAAATCAAGCTTTTCCACGAATTCCAAAGCGGACGTACCGAAACCTCTGATTCAGACCTTGACTCGGAATTGCTAGAGTGGAAAAGTTGTCAACATGGAACACGTTGCAAATATTTTAAACCTATAAAGGAATTTTAAAAGAAAAATCAAATTCAAAAATGTGTCCATACAAAATTTATATAAAAGTGCAATTTAAACTGACAAGTTTTTATGTAATGCAACTTCTAATTCCAATTCTAAATTCAAACCTGAATCTAAGAAGGGGATAAAAAAATATTGTATTTCTTTTACTTTATTCAACAGGCTGCTGAGAAAGCGCATAATTTAATCATGACTTTTTGTGCCACACTCTTAGCACATCTCTTTCACCGTCGGCAAACGAGCTCATCAACAGTCTGTTTCGAATATTACGCCTGTGGTCTGTCGGTGAAGAGCGAGGAGTCAGTTTTTGGCTCTAGAAGGTCGCGAGCCGTCCGTCCGCTTTACAAAAAAACTCGCAGCCTCTCAATTTTAACGGCCGCTCCTTCTCACTCTCGCGCAGTTACGGATTCATCATTATGAATTGGCCGCCTTGTCTCTTTCTCTTCAGCTATTTATTTTCACACTCGGTGCTCATTACAGTTATTTGAGCGGGGCGAATTCCTCAAATTGTTGTTGATTAATGCGGCATTGGTGAGCGGAGGAACTGGACGTGTCAAAAGGTCAACGCGCGCAATCGCATTCCTGGGTAGCAAACGTGACACGATGCTTATCAAAAAAAAAGCATAGTGTCCCGCCTTATTGTTTCTGATTAGCCAGGAATGGAGTTGGAGATTTTCGCTATGAACGAAGCGCTTTCCCTGGCCGCGAGTGCGCGTAAAAGGCCTGCCGGGCGCGTTTTGCTTCAGACTTCTCGGAAGGCGCGACTCGGTAAAGGATGAACTGCCCTCTCAGAATCGGCAAACTGTCGGCATGATATTAACGACGCAGACGTGCGTAGTTAATAACAGCAGAATATTAGTTGCTATCATCATGCTGGTCACGTGATTAATTGCTCAGGGAAGGCGAAAACAAAATTAAATATAAATATATCTCAGTAATCTGCTGCTAAAGTGCAATAAATTCATTTTTGTGCCTCAACTTTAATTTATATTTCTCAAAATTACTTCTTGAAAGCGAATTAATTGACCTGAAAACAAACTGTGCACAGAGTTCCTTGTTTTTAATTAAAACAAAACTATTAAATACCGTTTCCAACAAAGCTTATCTTTGTTAAGTGTGGTTTATAAAGGAAAAAGGGAGAGTTCTTGATTAAAATTATCGTCGTGTTTGTATATTATTGACCAAAAATTGTGGCACTTTTAAAAGGAGGGCGATCATTGTTCTTCCCCTCGTGCAATTATTTGGATTTTTTTCCTTGGTAATTATTTTATTGTTCCTCGGCGAACAAATGAATTGCATAAAAATCTTGACAAATTTCCGGTGGAGGGCGTGTGCCCCCCGCCCGCACCAAATGCACAAACGTGCCGACGACGGCCGGAAAGGTCTCCTGCGAACGAACAAAACACGGAACGCCTTCGGCAATCAATAAATACATATTGTTCAAAATCTGTTTTGCAACAGAAAACACGATACACATTTGCAAACGCACATGGAGCGAGTCCCTCGTGCAAATCGCACGCATGCATTGGAATTTTTCCCTCGAGCGTTCTCCAATCTAGCGCGCCATCTTGACACTTGGCTAGATAACTATCTATAACGATCGCCGCCTCGTCAAATAATCCTCGCGTAATCTAACGCGCCTATTGTGCATTTCTCGAGTACTAAAAAGCCAGGCGTCACTTTTGAATATATTTTTTTCTCTACTTTAATTTGAGAATTTCTGTATAAAAGCAGCAGTAAAAATCCCATTACACGTTTCAGTACTTTCAGAACCCTGAGATTATCCTCTGCAGCCGTTGGGGCAAAAAACGTGTTGCACAATGGTGCAACTAATGCGGCGCACCTGTTTTTCCTTTCGAGCACAATGAAAGACGGAATTCGCTTTGGTCACAATTCGGAGCGATAATAATTCCCGTTGATTAAATACGGAATTAAATATTCGCTTGCTTTGTTGATGAGAAAAAAGCGCACATGCAATTAAAAATATCACAGAGAATTTTCCGCTTCGCTGTTTATTTTGTGCGATCAATTATAACACTGAATTTTTTCTTTTGCCCGTGCGAGTGGCGAATGCAGAGACCGTTGGTTATTTCCCTGCATCCGGTCACTCTTCTTGCCGAGCCTCGCCACTCATTGTTCCTTGATTAACTCTGGAATTCTTCTCTTTTTGTTGCAGCCGTCCTCAGTCAATAATTTAATCGCCCCAGCGAAGCATCTTATAAAACAGCCGGCGCCATGGGTATGGGACAGAGCAAACGATCCGTCGACATCACAGCCACCCCGAAGAAGGGCGAGGGCGAGAATGGCGTTGTCGGCAAGGTGGCCGACGATGGCTCCGAGTTGGTCGGCAAGGTTGAGAAGATTGTAGACAACGACGAGAACAAGGCGCCGAACGGCACCACCCCACACAATGGACACGCTGAAGAACCGGTAAGTGTTTTTTTTTTAATTGTAATTAAAAGTTGCTTATTTTTATTAATGCAAACGTTTTCACTTCTTTCTTACTAAAGTTATTTACTTAAGTTGTTAGTTATTTTCTAAAGTTATTACTAAAATTCTAGTTACTATTAGAGTTGAAAATCACTTCTAGCTGATTCATCTAAATTAGGCTCTTTTATTTTTATTTATGGGTCCTTGAGGATGCTGGTGAAAAGAAGTTTGGCTGCTGATGAACAAGAGCAAACTTTTTTACTTTTACGGTTAATTAATTTGTTCAGACGCACTGACCGTAATTGACTGTGGCGTATAGAGCCATTAGTCAAGAGCACCTATTGTGTCAGGACGAAAAAAGAATGAGGGCAGCAAGTTGGAAATGAACACGGAAAATCGTTCACAACTTTTGATGTAATTTCGGACCGGAGCAAAAAATTGGATGACACTCGCTCGGCTCCAGGCAGATTGCTTCACAATAAACAATATCGGCGGGCCTCGCTTTGATTGATTGCGGCGCTCACAAGCTAGCAAGAGAATAAATCAATACAGCAGCGGCATGCAAATTTGAATTGCGCACAGAACCGAAGCAACATCAAAGGCACTTGAGCTTAATTGAAATTTATCGCGCGCTAAAAGCAACTCGTTGTTCGTTTATCCGAGTGCGAGAGAGCCAGTTAGACCAAGCAGTGCCGCCGGTTTTCGCTTTCGATGCACCGCGCGCCGGTGAGTAATTGCATTTCCCGGTTGGCGCCGAGGGACCGTTCTGGTTAAATTTGGCGTGACTTGCCCATTGCATTGCTTGTTGTGCAGACGAAAAAGTTGCGCGGCTTAATTTAATTCAATTATATAAGAACCGCGTTTTAATGTAGAAAGTCCCAAAGGTTACCTTTTGCATGCCATTTTTTATATAAAAATGCAAGACTGTGAGTCGGTTCTTTGCTTATTTAGTGACTTGAAAAAAGTTGTGATTAAACTAGGGAGCTTGAAGTATGCGGATCATATCAAAAGAGTCAATATTTGCCTCTTGTGCTACCGTATTTTGCAAGGAAGGGCGCAGTGCTTTGCTTTTGTCCCGCTGCACTACACGGAAATTTGCATATCTCCGCACAAAACAATTTGCTACAGAAATGTGCGGCAAACGCGCGCTGGGGCACCGCGTGTTTGCACAACTCTCCAGCCTGCGCGGATTTCGCTAATAATGTGGGGAGAATTATTTCCGCGGCGGCCACAGGAAGGGCTTTAAATCACTTTTATTGTTGTGTTGCGTCTGCCGAGCTTTGACCGTTGAAAAATTTTCGCTACACAGATGCTGCTTTTTAATAATGTTTTTCAATTAAAAAGTGCAAAAAAGAAATAGGATTACAAAATATGAATTTAATGAAGTTAATGATATGTTCCACCATTGATAACTTTATAAATAAAATAAATTATTGAAATTCGATAAAAAAAAATTTAAAATTGAAAAATAACCAACGATTGCACAACTTGCTTACATACATTTCAACCCCCTGTGCTTCTCCGTTACCAGCCAGTCTCCCCGAGGCAACCCTCTCATTGATCAGGCGTGCCCGGCGTTCTTTAATGAGGCAGACACACCGTGATTCATGCATTTCCAGACTCGCTTGCTTGCCTTGTTGGCCAATGTGTTGCAATTGGATCGATACGTCTCTCTCTCGCGGGGGAGAAATTTAACAATTACAAATGCACATCGTGGGGGAGGGATTGATGTGTTCGCAGCAATAACAAGCAACGTTGCGTATATTGTACGCGACGGATTTGACCCATCAGCAGTCAAATTATTCATCGGTCCATCCCCTGGGAGGCCGGCAGACAGAGAAACAGGCCAAACTCGTTTTTGTCTGACACCTCTGCCGACGGCGGTCTTTTGTTTCGCCGCAGCCGCTTTGTTGGCGGCAACAAGGGTTGGAACGTAATTCGGCGATTCATCACTAAATATCACCACTTTGATATGCGCCCGTTTATGGCCTCATCAAGTGTTATAACAGAGATAAAACTACCATTCAGCAGCACTTTTCACTTTTTAGCTCATCCTATATTATATACCAGATTAATTCTATAGATAGAAATCTTGCCGCAGTAGCTAAGCTCAAAAATTCTAGTAAAATATAAATCTGTAAATTTTTGTGTTTAATTGACTTAATTGTTGCTTTAATTGCAGAAGGAGAACGGTGAGGTTGAAAAGGGTGTGGCTCCTGCGGCCAAGGCCGAAGACGACTCCTTGCCCGCTGATGCCGCCGAAGCTGTTCCCGTCGAGAAGCAAAATGGCACCAACGAAGAGGAGGCCTCTTCTTCCAGTCCGGAAAAGCCCAAGAAGGAAAAGAAAAAGAAGAAGTTCAGCTTCAGATCCATCAGCTTCTCGCGCAAGGACAAGAAGGAGGTGAAGAAGAAGGAGAAGGAGGTGAGTGAAAAAATTGCATCGAATAAAAGAGGTTGTGGCCGCTTGCGAGATGAAACTGCCGAGTCGGAATAAAGAGCAATTGGACGGAATCAAACTGCAATTTGCAAAGGGGCGCGTGCAGGATATTGAAATCTGTTTCGGGAAAGCCAAAATCGTTTGTCCTTGTCAACGGATCTCCTGTTGTGCACTTTTCATTCTGCTAAGCTTTGTAAGCTGGGTAATGAAATTCACCCTACAAGAAGTAAAGTCCTGATTTATCCGCGATTAAGGAACATGATTTTGAATGGTTACTTGAGCAGTTATACAAGAAATCACGAGAAATAATCAAATATTGTGGAATTTCCGTCAAAGAGAAAATTTATTTGAATTAAAAATGTATTTTTGACACATTTAAATTTTTTATCTCTGTCAATTAATATTAAGAACAATCTAGAACAACAATTTAAATTATTGAGTTAAAAATTGTATTAACAGGCTTATTGTCGATGGTTGGCGTTGGATTTTTTTTACCAGCCAATTCACAAGTCTGGGCATGTTTTCCTTCCGAGAATGGCCGATCGCTCGGTCGCATCCTCCCCTCGGCGCCGGCCTAACTGGTCATAAATTCACCTGCCCAGCAGCATTTGATGTGAAATTATTTAGCGCGGAAAGTGGCATAACGCGCGAATAAAAGCAGTTCGCCGGCTTTTTTATCGCTTCTTTCTCTCTCTCACACGCCCTTGCTGCACCGCACGAGTCGTCCACGCCGCGTTGGAACAGACGGGGGTTGTGTGTTGCGGGTCGCCATGGCAACCGCCTCCCAGTCTAGGCCCCCTTTTCTGTCTGACTCTATTGATCTCGCACAAAAAGCCACCCTTTGCGTTCCCCACGATGCTGCTGCTGCCGGCTGCCTGCCTGCCTGCCGGCCGGCCGGCGCGATGATGCACTCACCCCACTCAGAGTGGGGTAGTAGTGAATGTGCAGGCTACTCCACATTCACTGTACGCCAGTGTTGCTTATTTGCATTCAAATGCGCCGTCCGATGGCTGGCGAACGACGAGCGGCGTCGCTTTGAACCCTTTTAGCGAATGAGGAAAAGTCTTCAAATGACGATCGTCTGCGCGAATACATTACTTTTTACGTCAAATGTGGTAAAAAAAAAAAAAAAAACTGTGAGACTATCCTGGTCAAAGGAACGAGGACAGCCATTCACGGAATACTCTGCTAAATTTGATAAATTAATTATTTAAATTTCGCCCTCTAATGAAAATGCTCTGAAGGAAAAAATTGCTTAGAAAAGATGTAAGGAGTATTGAATTTTATCCCATTTGAGTGATCATTTTTTTTTTACAATCCAGTGTATTTTTTTTTTGCACTATTTCTCTCTTTTGAAAATGTATCTTTTCATAGAAATGCATTTTAATTTTTATATTTTGTATTATATTTTAAATTCCACCCCTGCTCGTTTAACCTCCAATTTCACGTTGTGCGTGGGCCTGGTTCTTTCACACCCCCATAACTGGCGTTAAATATTCTCCATGGCTTCCTTCCTCGTTTTCCTCGCAACACAATAACCACGCCCCGGCGAGAATCGACGGTAATTTTATTCAGCCGGCAACAAAGCACGGCTTCAAATTAAGGAGGAAATTAGATTTTGGGTTTCCCGAGCACCCACTAGTCTCAACTTTTGCTGGATTCACCAGAATTTCCCTTAATATTTTCTGTAGCTACGCAGGGGACGCGGCTCTCAAATAAATCGCCCTCTCAGATGATCCGCTTTTATGACGCAAACTTATTTCGCTCTTTTATTGCCGGCGCAGTCTCTCCAGAGAGATAAAATTGAACCGTTTTTTTTTACCCGAGCCAAATAATAATGGGATTTTATCATCCGCGGACGAAATGCCGGGAATGATTTTATATAAAGATTCTATCAAAAGTGCCGTGTCTCTGCTTTTTGAGTCGTTTATTCGGCGTCACCATTACCTGCTTCCACTCCATTCCCAGAGTCTATTCAACGTATTACCATAAATCTGAACGACCTTGGGGTAGGTTAAAGCCGAGGAAGACGCTTTTCACAAATGAATGAAATATAAATCAACGTCCCAATAGAAAAAATATTAAAGGATTGATTTGTGGCTTTCTTGCTTTTAAACTCCGATTGGTGCTATAAATTGTAAATCTTTAAATCCCGGGCTCTAAAAAAAAAATTTAATATAATACTTGGTCGCAGACACAACAACTTTGGGACGTTTTAAAATTTAAAACTATTTCCGTCCCATAAAAAGTTATCAATCAATTTCAAAATGAAAAAGCGTTTACGCTCCATTCCAACAAACTCGTTAAATGCATTTCCGTGTTCTCTTGGCGAGAATTCAATTACGGCGCGGGACGCACGGATTTATTCTTGCCATCTTGAGCGTGCATAAGAGGCTGAAATATTCCAATCTTTCATAGCTGAGCAGCTCCTAGGGCTAGAGAAGACGCGTCTCAAGAGAGAGAAAAGCAACCTGCTCGCTTCTTTCTGGGGACCTGTCACGCTGGATCATCCCCCAGCGTGTCACCACGCATGCAGCTGGGGGTTGAAAGCGTGTCAAATAATAAAATCGAGGCGCGAGATTATTTCGTAAATGGAATGCGCGCGGCTGAAATATGGCGGTCGTGGAAATATAAAAATAATCCGGCGGCAACTCGACACTCCTGAGAACGAAAAATTCCCCGAATGTGCAGCCACTCGCAGGTGAATTGCACAACGGCGAAGGACGCCCGGCCGTACATTTTTGTGATCCTGGTGATAATTACGGCGTTGTTTTGAAAAGCACGCCCGTGATTACAGGGCAAGCAATATATAATGAGATTATTACTATTCCGGTTGCTGCGTCAACGGAAACCATTCTGGTGAACAGCTGCAGGCTGCTCGCCTTTGCGCATCTCTCCGCTGACGTTCTTGCCCAGCAGTGTAGCCTGACAACGTACGTGCTCGTCGACAGCAAATCTCGCCGTGTAATTAGCATTTCCAGCTGTAATTTGGCGATTCACCTCCTCTCCGGCCTTGGTTTGCTTTCCCAGACTTGTTTTAATTCTGCGGCGATGCCATCAGAGACGCACAAAATTCCCACAAGGCACTCTCTCGCCTGGATTAACTAAGTTGATAATTAATTCAAATTTCTGAGCTTTCGTAATTCGCAACGAGCTAAAGAATTTTTTTAATTTTATTAGAAAAATAACAACAAAAAAACTCGGTTTTTAAATATTTAAATTTCTCTGTGTTTTCATATAAAAATTAATTTATAATTCTCCCCCAAAGCATCATAAAAGGATTTTACTTTTTTGTAAAAATAGCAGCAATTTTATTTTCTACTTTTTCGATTATTTATTTGATATTAATTGTTCAGGCAACGTTTAAAAACCAAATCTGGGAGGGCCAATAAAAATAAGTAACAATCAGCGATGACAGTTTGATGAGGCGTTCGTTTGGCCAACAAGGGACATGCAGTCGCGACATAAGTGAGCATGTGTCGCTCTAAAATCGTGGCGCTTGACAATTGTTAAAAATAGAGGCCTCGTTACTCGACGTCTGTGCAGCATAAATCTCACTCGAACAAACGAGCCTGGAGAAATAATTTTTGCAAACGGCAGCCGCAGCATCTGGTGAGGAAGAAGAAGCTGAAAAAATTGCGCGTAGTTATGGTGCGGGGAGGAGTTTGTGTTTTGCGCTGACTGGAATTACGTTTGAAAGAATGAGTCGGGATTGTGCTGCTGCCGGCCGGTCGTTGTTTTAATTGCGCGCTCTCGCTGCTTTTTGTTGCTACCGAGTAGTGGTGCTCGCTTGTGTTGTCTTTATCAGTGCAACGGAAATGCCCTTCTTTGTATCAAGGAAGGGCTCTAATTCAACTCATCAGCAGTCGCTCCCATCGCCCCCTGGAATCAATTATACACAAGAGTGTTTTGCTTTGTTTGCTCTTCTAAAGCAGCTCTAAAGACTGCACTTGTCCTCACTCAAGCCAGTTTTTGCGCCATGCTTGAAGAACCCGTGGAAATGATTTATCTTTTGTTTGTCCAAAAATTTCCAAGGAGAGACGTTTTGGAGTATTTTTTTTATTCAAACGAAGTTTGAATATTTTCAAGTAAAAACTTTAATCAAGTATGATTGAAATATATAATGTTAAAATAATTTTTTTGGCATTAAAACTTCTGGAGACGAAAACTGCAACATTTTAAATAATTGGAATCAATATAAATTAAAAAAAAATGCACTTTTATAATTTTCTCCTGATTAAAAAATCCAGAATTACGGTTTAATTTTGTCCAAAGCCCAAAGCAAAAGAAGTTTTTATTCAAAAGAAAAATCAATATTAAATGAAACAATAAAATAAATGCAAATTAAAATGTTAAAATTCAGTCATTATTGCAACCACAATAACAAAATTCCTAGAAAAATCAAGCTCAAGTGTTTTATGAGAGACTTAAATTCTAAACGTCATTCTGGTATACATTTCTCCGAAGTCCGCGTGAGACTTTGCCGCTTGTTAATTGTCATGGAGCCAGACAGACTTAAATTGCAATCAGCGAGTGGTGCTTGAACAATTTGTCAATCGTCTGGTCCCATCGTTCTTCCTCGTCTCCAATCTTATGGGCGCGCGAATCCTCTCTGCTGGTCTTCATTGGCGATAATGGCTGCTCGAGTCGCGCCGGTTGCCAACCCGCAAGGCACACGCGACACATCTGTCGGCGCAAATAAAGAAAAAGATATTTTGTTGCGTGCGCGATAATGACGCAGAGGATCCTCGCGCGTTTTATTCTGGTGCCCGATGATGAGTGCCATTGCTCAAAGAGCGCGAAACACAATACCGGCGTGTAACTCAAGAATCTCTCACTTTGCGTCGTTCATAATCCGTTCGGCCTATGCGATAGAGAGAAAGAGACGCAGTTATGCATATGAATTCCTCGGGTGCCGCGCTGAAATATCTTCACGTGCCGCTTCGCATTGGTGCGATGGCGTGGCGCTAAAATCCAACACGGCCTGAAACTGCACAAGCCTGTTTTTGCCTGCAGAGAGAGAGAGAAAAAAAAAAGAAAGAGCAAAAACGCGAAACTGCGCGGATTGAATATCCGAGGTGCCGCTCCAGTCGCGCCGGCTGAATTTCGCCAGCAACAGTCATCGTCGACTTTAATCATGACATGTGTATAATAAAGAAGATTTAAAAATATCACCCAAATTTCTAAACAGCAGGAGATGCAATAAAAATCAATTTAAAAATTATATTGTATCTAGTAGCACCAACGGCTTTAATTTTTTAATTAAAGCACCTAAAAAAGTTTTTATTCCAATTTGTTTCACAAAATGTAAATTTATAATTAATTCTGTTGAAAAAATCTTTTCAAAGAATAATTGAAATTTATTCTTGCTTATAAATAACAAATTTTATTTCATAATTTTCATATTTTTCATTAATTTCCATAAAAAACCCAAATATTATCTGTAGTTAGGTTTTTGTTAAATATCCTTATTTTGAAATAAAACCAAAGCCAACCAGTTTTTTTTTCTTTCAATGTCATAAAAAAATTGATTGATAAAAAATTTGTTTATCCAAATAAATCATAATATAAGAGTTGCAGTCAGCAACAATTGCGTAAAAGGAAAAAATAAGAAACGCGTGCGATCTCCGGCGCCTGCTTGACTCTGATGCAACATGAGTGGCGTCCGTCTTGTGTCAAATTATCTACCAGGGCTTTAATTGCCAATACGTTTCCGAAGTCCTGTATTGCGCAGTTTCTCTTCTCGCGTTATCTCTTGGAATTCCTGCTGCAATAAATATCCAAAGGTGTTTTTGTTTTCGCTCTCTGCGTGCATCTAATTATGCATCTGATGCAAAAACAAATCGCGAGCGCGCGATTCTTTCTCTTTCTCGAGGTGCATCATCAGCGTCGTTCTCGTCACGTGCCTTACCTAATATTACGTCGCAGGCGCAAATCTCCAGGTGCTTAGAAAAGTTTGTCCAATTAAGTTTCGCTATCAAATTATCTCCCAGGGGTAAAGTTTGAAGTTGCAGACGCCGCAGGAAATAAATTGTATAAAGCTTGGTTGCTTCTCTGCGGCGAGACGTTGCGGTTTCACCCAAGTATGCAAATTCCTCGCCGGTGCATCTCTTTCTCGTTCGTGTAATGAAACGGCATAGTTCCTTGACGGGCGGACTCTGATTCCATCGGTCTGACCTTTGCCGAAGGGAAATTCGATCAGGCGTTGTGCGGCGGCTCCGCCACGACTCATTCCCATCACCGGCCGATTCCCACTTTGCAAAACAAAGGTCTCAAGATCAAGTTCGCTGCGAAATTCACGAATTTTTTGCCCCTCGGTTTTGGTTGGTGGCCCATTTCTCGGGCTTTGTGCGTCACTTTATTTTCAAATCGGCCGTTACTGACACGAGCAGAGAGATTGTCGCCAAGATCGCTCAAATGACGCGTTGCCTGGCGAGAAGCGCGCGTTTGAATTACCCTGAGTTGAGGTTTCTGACTCGCGACACTCGAGATTGCTAAAAAGTTCTAACACCGTGCGCGGATCATCTTCGCCTGTATCCATTTCTGCAAACTAGGAATTTCGCTCGTTCAGAAAGAAGTCGTTTAGAAAAGTGATCTGGGCACTTTCCATTGGGATTCATATATGTGCGGTCGATTTTATCAGGCAAACAATTTTGGAGGAAATTGAGTGGAAATAGTCGAGAGGCGGTTTGCTTGTTTTAGAGACTTTCCTCAAACAGTCCTGAACAAATATAGAATCAATTTTGATCTACCACAAAAAGAGAATCTTCTATTGAGTTGTCTGATCTCTGGACCGATTTGGAAATAAAAAAGCTTTTCTTAAGAGCGCGATTTAATTTAAAATAATTCAGGGATACCTCTAAAAAATATATTGAAAGTAATTTTATAAAAACAATAAATAAATTAAAAAAATTACTTATTTGTTCCTTTTTATCATTATTTTTTTTTATCAGGTAAAAACTATTTTAGAAGGAACTTTCAGGGGTTGAATTGCAAAACAGCACAAGTTATTTTTAATTAAATTGTCAGGGGAGTGTTCCTTTCTGGATTAAAATAACCAAAAAAAGTATGTCTTTTCTATTAAAAGTGAACAAAAAACGGCCAAAAATCTTAATTAACATTTTTATGCAGCTGTTTGACAAATAAAATAATAAATAAATTGCTTCCATTTGCATTTTTCGACCTAGAATTTTTTTATTCTAGGCTCTGCTGAGTAAAACACATCAATTTTTATTTCACAGGAAATATGAGAATCAGTAAACCACCCGCCCGTTTATTCTCCGCAGGGGTCCAAGATAATTGATCAATCCGAACAAAGTGTCTGTGAACGAGAGTAGCCGCAGTTAGTAGTTCATGATTTATCGTGTCACATGACGCAGCGAGATGCTGGCTGGTATTTATTTGGTGCGAGGCGCAGGCCGAAAATTCGGCAGTCACACCCCTAGCTAGGGCGGGGTCCTCGCGGCCCGCGTGTGCTGCTGGCCGAGTAATCCCCCTGCAGGTATTTTGATCCCCGCGTCAACAATCGGGCGCCGCGCGCTCGCGACGCCTCGCACCTTTTTCTTTTTCTCTCACCGCCGTGACACACAATGTTGTTTGATCGCGATGATGTTACTATCAATAATATTGTGTCGGGCCCCCCTTCCTCCTCCTGCTTAATTAGAGCTGCTTACATTCGCTGGAGGGATGGTTGTCTTATAAAAGCGGCGCGCCACTCTTGGGTGCTTCATTCATTCTTTCTTTTGTGACCGCGCGTGCCCAGTGTTGACTTTTTGCCAGCAGTTTTTCGTGCCCTTTCGCAGCCCGACCATCGATATGTCTGACGAAGTCGTTCAACAGGTTTGCCAGCCAAATATTTTTCCAGAACTTGTTGCCGTTTCGAGCTATTACTCACTCGGGGTGGCTTTTTTCTAGCAACAGGCCAAATGGCAAAAGCTCTTGCCATGAATAGGGGACTTTTATCTTTATATTTATTCTCTCTACTCGTTTATTAACTTTTTACAGACGAAAACTTCAAAATATAATTAAATTGCGCTTCATTACAGCATTTAATATTTTTTGTCTTGAGAAATTATTATTTTTTATTATAAATCTAACCAAAATTTTTCTGGTTAAATTTGTAAAAAAAAAAATCAACTTTTGTGACATATTTTTCTTCAATTTGATAATTTCTTCTTAAATAAATATCAAAAATAGCTTCAGAAATCAAATTTAGGTAGACAGAGGAAAAAAATCATGCGAAAATTAATTATTCTTTTTTTTTATTTAATATCCGCTTAAATATGAAATACACAGCATCTTACTTAAAGTCAATTCACGAAAAATTATTAATTCCGATGAGTTCCCCCACATTTTTATGCACTACCCAAAGTGACATTGGTTTCCGATCTTGGTGTGCATTCATCTGGCAAGGGTGTCTTGCCGAAATGATCAAGGACAAATCGGTGAATGGGTTTGATTTGCATGCGAGAACAATGGACGCGCAGCAAAGTGGCCGCAACTTCTTTGTGTGTGTCTTAATTAAGTCGCCGAATTATGTATTCACGGCATTGTGTGTAACGCACGCTTGTGTGTTTCAGGCTACCCAGGAGGAGGCCGGAGACTTGAAGGAGGAGGCCCCCAAGCAGGTGAGTAATCTTGTGACTCGCTCGCACGCAGCCTCTCCGACGTACACGCATCCCTTCACTGATATTCAATACCAATTGCCATGGCCACTCCCTTGTCACATGATTGATCTCTGCGGCTGAGACGCTGTTCATATCTCATTACGCGCTGCTTAATAAATTTTGGTGCAAATTTTCAGGATGCCGAGAAGAAGCCCGAGGAAACCAAGGAGGTCGAAAAGACAGAGGTGAGTCATCCAATGAGGCTTAAATATGCAGCATTTTTTTATATGAAATTTCATTAAAGTTAAATTTTAAAATTAATTCCAAAACATAATACTTTTGGTTAAAACCAACAAAGACTTTTAATCTGTAAGAATTTTTTTTACCATTTTGCTCTTTTTTATGATCAAAAAAGGAGTAAATTTAATCAAAATCACACATTTTTAAATTATTTATTCATTGTGAATTTCATTGAACTTTGCAATTTTTACAGGAGAAGTCCGGAGAAGAAGTGCCACCCCCTTTGCCCACCACCCCTCCTCCTGCTGAAGAACTTGCCGTGCCAGCTGTTACTGTCCAGCCTGCCACCCCTGTCTCTGCTGCCGTTGCAGAAAAGGTTGAGGAGAAGGTCGAAGAGACCCCTGTGACGGAAACCAAGGAGCCTGAGGTCTGCTAGCTTTTTAAACTTTTGAAAATTGAAGTTATTATAAAAAAAAAACCAGGTTGAATCAACACCTGCACCTGCCGAGGAGACTCACGAAACCGCTGCCGAGCCCGAGAAGGTGGCCGAGCCAGTTGAGGAAAAGAAGGAGGAGGCGCCTGCTGCTCCCGAGCCCACTCCTGCCGAGCCTGAGGTTTTTGATTTTATTCGGAAATGTGGTGTCTTTTTTACTCATCTCATTTTCTGCCATAGGTCGTAGCTGAGCCTGCCCAAGAGCCGGCCGTTGTTGCTGCCGAACCAGAGGTCAAGGCTGAGGAGGAAGTTACTGCTGCCCCTGCTGAAGAGGAGAGCCAAGAGAAGAGCGAGGAAACTCCTGAGGCCGAGGCGAAGGCAGCTGAGAGTGAACAGGTGAGATATGCTGGTTCCAAATTGTCAGCGGGATTGGACGCTTTTTCTTGCGCCTGCAGACCTTTTGTAACCCTCAGAGATTTTTGTGTACATAGATTTGCATGGGTTGAAGTAACTTTTTCCATTAACATTGCATTATTTCGCTCAGTCAAGGCAACCCCCTAGAAATATATTTGCGAGCTGACAAAAATTGTGTTAATTCTCTCTGTGACCTCATCAGCTTTATCATTCATTGCCGACTATACATGTTAAATGTTTGTTTTAATGTTGAAGACTTTCGCTTCTTAATTTTAAATTATGTTAAATTACAATTCGATCATAATTTAATAACCAAGCACTTCATTGGTAAGCATTAATTTTTGTGCCGTCTGTGCGCTTAATGTGATTAAGAATTAAAAAAAAACTTTTAGATAAATGTTCAGCCCACCACTTGCCCCATGTACAAAACGCCTGCTGAGAGCTTGCATGAACGAGCCGGGTTTCTATGCCGATCTAACTGTCAATTCTGGAATTGATCCCCTTACTATTCCAGGTCGAAGAAGACGGAGATGCCCCAGAAGCAGACCAGCAACAAGCAGAAGAAAAAGCGGAAGAATAAGAAGTAAATTGGTTCTTCGTCTTGGGGCTAGAAGAGAAGATTTCTGCTTCAAGTGAACCCCCTCCTTATATCATTGGACTTTGAATAATATTAATGAAGATGGTCGATTCTTAATTTTTATTTTGTGCCCATATCTCTCTCTCTTTACCAGCATACTTGCATTCAGGGGCCACGTTAATAAATTTTTACCTAGAACTGTAAGGAGGAGTAAAAATTTGAATACTCGCAATCGATGATTTGTCATTTAGCAAGTAATGCAAAAACTCTTTTGACAAGCAAAATTTCAAACAACAGTGAAAACGATGATTGTAAAACTGTCTGCTGCTGAGCTCAAGCACTGTAATAAAGCCAATAACAGGAAGGTGTCTTTAAGGATGACTCTCGTTGTTACTGGACTGGCAATATTTTTTCATGTTCTTTCTCCCATGAGTTGTATAAATTTCTTTTCTGGATAATAAATAAGTGCTTTGTCAATAAAGTAGATAATTTTAATTGGAGAAATAAAAACATTGCTTAAAGGAGACATTTGGTTGTGGAACATTTGAGTTTTTCAGCTGACTGCTTCCTTTGATGACGAAAATTACCAGAAATTATATTTTTGAATGAATTTTGTATCTGTAGAAATGATGCGCGATAATTTAGATCAATACTTTGACGACAGTTTAGCTTGTTTATATGAAATACAATGTATGGATAAGTAGGTAATAATAATTATGTGGTAGGAGTATCATAGCTAGATGAACATTTTCTATCAATATTATACAACATATTCACACACTTTTTAAATGCCAATTTGTACCGAGATTTTGACATCACACTTACATGTTTCTAAATTTCTACAGCAAAAATATACTGAACATGCCGGCAGCTCAGTTGTACATTTTTGAAAGTAGACGCATTTTAGTTGAGCATATAACTCTGTGTAGTAGGCGAGAGAATTAGTTATTATCATTATACGTCTGTATCCTGGAACAACAACGATGGTGTGCCTGCAACCGAAAACTGTGGTTCGCTTGCAGATGAGATTGCTTTTTCATCATTGGATGGGTTCGCGAAAATTACGAAGACGGTTGAAAATTGAACAGTTGCTGTGATTATTTAGCCTAACAAAAAGCAATGCAAATATTTTGTCCACTTTTGTTTGGTTTGAAAATGGTATGCAATTAATTTCTCTCCTGTCTCACAGCTAGACGTATTAGATATTATGTGAATGCAAATATAATTATTTTGCTTTGAGGTGTATAAAAATGAACAAATTTTGTATCTCTCTCTCTCCCTCTCTATACAAGGAAATATTGACAAAACTACAAGCAGAAATTCGGTTCTCTATTTTGATGCATTTAAATTAATCCAGTAAGAAATTTCAAGGTTCTTTCTTATTTTTAGAGGTGCTTATATTATCACAAAGCGTGTATTTCTGTCTTTTTGTAATGTGCAACAACTGATCAATGATGGAAGTTAATGATAATAAAGAAATCTTTGTTAAAAATCAAAATGTATTGTTTGATTTACAGTTCCGCCAAAAAAATTTAAAAGTAAAAGAACTCATTAATTACATAATTACTCTCATTATCGTCATGATTTTTTGGTGATTTGAATTGAAAGACAGCTTTTCTACAAAAATATTATATTTATTTTCATTGAATTTCTTCCACCGTTTGAAACTGGTTTGAAAGTGAAAAATAATTCATAACCTTAATAACAAAGAAGTTATGAGTTTCAATAATCCCTGCGCAGTATAACTGTTTCTGCAGTTACGGCGTTCAGCATTTTTTTTCGTGCATTATACTTATGGCTAAACTAGCAAGTATAGCAATTGCTTAATTTGCTAAGGTTGCAAAATTAGCAAATTTATCAATTGCTAATAAAATAATATTGTTTAATTACTCACATGGGACTGAGATCGCCATTGACACGGTGCAGAGCAATTTTTAAGATTTATATTTTTTTATTAACTTTACTTCAAAATTGAATACTTTTACTAATACTTTTTAATATGAGTGCACACATTAAAAATTACTTTGATTCGCTCGCGCTCATGTATCAATTTATCAACTTATTCATTGTATACTCTTCCAATTTCCAAAATACTTTGCTCTACTCTGTGCTCTCTATATAAACAATAATTAAAAAGTATTATAATATCCTATTTATAATAGGATCGCTTAAGTTGCTAAACTAGCGAAATTAGCAAATTAAGCAATCGCTTATTTCGCTAAGTTTGCTAAACTAGCGAAATTAGCAAATTTAGCATTCGCTTATTTCGCTAAGTTTGCTAAACTAGCGAAATTAGCAAATTAAGCAATCGCTTATTTCGCTAAGTTTGCTAAACTAGCGAAATTAGCAAATTAAGCAATCGCTTATTTCGCTAAGTTTGCTAATCTAGCGAAATTAGCAAATTTAGCTATTGCTTATTTTAAAAAGTAAATAATTAAAAGTAAGTAATTAGGTAATATATTGAGTCGAATTTTACAATGAAAATAATATTAATTACTCGCATGGGACCGAGATTGCCATAACACGGTGTCCTTTATATGATTTATATAATAAAATTTTAACAATTAAAAGTCAACAATGTTCATATTAAAAATATTTAAATCGTAAAAAAAATGTTGAATTAGATTTTAATTCAATTCAAATGAGATCTCATTAACTTTTTGTCACATTTTTCCCTTCACTTCTCTTCAAAGCGCGGAGCGAGAGTGCTGAAGTTACGTTACGTTTAAAATTTAAATATATAATGGTTTAAGCTTTATAGAAACCATTTTATAAGAAAAAAGTCAACACGTGAGCCTTTGAAATTAAAATAAAGCTTTTCTTTTATAATAAATACACTGTTGTTGCAGTTACTGGCCAAGATATGCTAGTTTATTCGAGAGATTTGTTGTAAAAAGAATTATTAAAATTCTTTTAATATACAACTGAACTGCCTCTTTAATTAATTCTCTATTAATCAGATTATTCGATAGAATTAGTTTATTAATTTTCCTTCCGGATTTATTTTACTCACAATTAAGGGACATAAGTAAGCCCAATAAAATACTTCATTTTAATCCTATTGTGTATAGTTACTTTGAATTTTGTCTTCTAATTTTACGCAACGAATTAACCCTTTATTATTTCGCGGCGCTCCACGCCTGTAAATTTTTGTGGCCTTCACTGTAGAGTGATTTATGTTTCTCTACTTATTTAACATAAAGTTTCCAATCAATTTGCGAATTTTTTAATGTAGAAAATTTTGTTACAAAAATATAACACCTGCATGCATTGAAAATGAAACTTTTTATAATTTTCTCACAAAATATTACACTTTAATCACTCTATAAATAAGGCCACAAAAAATTATTCCAGGCCAGCAATTTTTTTTTTTTTGAAGATTATTATATTTAAAAAAAATTAAAAAGAATGGTGGAATTCAATTTAAGTTAAAAATATAGTTTATATATTCACAAATGCAAAAATAATTTTCGTCTAATTAATTGAATTAAATTATTTATTCCATTTTCTGATCGAACCTTAAATAATACTTCGGACAGTCCGAGGTCGCTCGAGACCATCCGAGGACGTTCGACACCGCTTGAGACAGTTCGAGGCCGTTGGACACCCCGAGACCGCCAGAGGGTCGCCTGAGACCAATAGAGGTCGTTCGAGACAAAGGGGCAACTGTTGCCCCTAAATAATTGCCATGTAAAAATATGAGGTCGTTCGAGACCGTCCGAGGTCGCCTTCGAGGTCGTTCGAGACCATGGTTGCTTATTTCGCTAAGATTGCTAAACTAGCGAAATTAGCACATTAAGCAATCGCTTATTTCGCTAATTTTGCAAAACTAGCGAAATTAGCAAATTTAGCAATCGCTTATTTCGCTAAGTTTGCTAAACTAGCGAAATTAGCAAATTTAGCAATCGCTTATTTCGCTAAGTTTGCTAAACTAGCGAAATTAGCAAATTAAGCAATCGCTTATTTCGCTAAGTTTGCTAAACTAGCGAAATTAGCAAATTAAGCAATCGCTTATTTCGCTAATTTTGCTAAACTAGCGAAATTAGCAAATTAAGCAATCGCTTATTTCGCTAAGTTTGCTAAACTAGCGAAATTAGCAAATTAAGCAATCGCTTATTTCGCTAAGTTTGCTAAACTAGCGAAATTAGCAAATTAAGCAATCGCTTATTTCGCTAAGTTTGCTAATCTAGCGAAATTAGCAAATTTAGCTATTGCTTATTTTAAAAAGTAAATAATTAAAAGTAAGTAATTAGGTAATATATTGAGTCGAATTTTACAATGAAAATAATATTAATTACTCGCATGGGACCGAGATTGCCATAACACGGTGTCCTTTATATGATTTATATAATAAAATTTTAACAATTAAAAGTCAACAATGTTCATATTAAAAATATTTAAATCGTAAAAAAATGTTGAATTAGATTTTAATTCAATTCAAATGAGATCTCATTTACTGTTTGTCACATTTTTCCCTTAACTTCTCTTCAAAGCGGAGCGATAGTGCTGAAGTTACGTTACGTTTAAAATTTAAATATATAATAGTTTAAGCTTTATAGAAACCATTTTATAAGAAAAAAGTCAACACGTGAGCCTTTGAAATTAAAATAAAGCTTTTCTTTTATAATAAATACTCTGTTGTTGCAGTTACTGGCCAAGATATGCTAGTTTATTTGAGAGATTTGTAGTTAAAAGAATTATTAAAATTGTTTTAATTTACAACTGAACTGCCTCTTTATTTAATTCTCTATTAATCAGATTATTCGATAGAATTAGTTTATTAATTTTCCTTCGGGATTTATTTTACTCACAATTAAGGGACATAACTAAGCCCAATAAAATACTTCATTTTAATCCTATTGTGTATAGTTACTTTGAATTTTGTCTTCTAATTTTACGCAACGAATTAACCCTTTATTATTTCGCGGCGCTCCACGCCTGTAAATTTTTGTGGCCTTCACTGTAGAGTGATTTATGTTTCTCTACTTATTTAACATAAAGTTTCCAATCAATTTGCGAATTTTTTAATGTAGAAAATTTTGTTACAAAAATATAACACCTGCATGCATTGAAAATGAAACTTTTTATAATTTTCTCACAAAATATTACACTTTAATCACTCTATAAATAAGGCCACAAAAAATTATTCCAGGCCAGCAATTTTTTTTTTTTGAAGATTATTATATTTAAAAAAAATTAAAAAGAATGGTGGAATTCAATTTAAGTTAAAAATATAGTTTATATATTCACAAATGCAAAAATAATTTTCGTCTAATTAATTGAATTAAATTATTTATTCCATTTTCTGATCGAACCTTAAATAATACTTCGGACAGTCCGAGGTCGCTCGAGACCATCCGAGGACGTTCGACACCGCTTGAGACAGTTCGAGGCCGTTGGACACCCCGAGACCGCCAGAGGGTCGCCTGAGACCAATAGAGGTCGTTCGAGACAAAGGGGCAACTGTTGCCCCTAAATAAT